AGCTGAGGCTTCTACACAGATGTAGAGTCTGGGCCTGACACCTCAGACACCATGGCTAGCAGAGATTTTGATGGTTAAGTTCCCATAAAGTTGTAACATATCTGAGCCTTGGATCCAGCAGGGTTTAAATCTGCCTTCCTGGAGGTCACTGACTTGCCTGTCAGTCAAACAGCTCCAGGGATTCTCAGTTGTTGGGGGAAAAAATGGGTGCATCTCTCTGGGGCAGAAGGACCTCAAAGGAAGCAGGATCTATTACCCACCCCATGGAGAAAAGTTGCTGTTCAGCAAGACACAATTACCCTACACTGCATAACTGTGGGCCTGAGCGCATCCCTCACAGCTAGACTCTGGAAGCAGGAAGAAACTCCGAGGCAAGCTCTGCATCTGTGACCTACAGATCCCCAGACTGGAACAGGGGAAAATTGCCACTGGAGGGGTAGACCTCACAGTTCCTTGAGTACAGGTTCTCCCTGAACTGCAGGGCCAGCCCCAAACACCCGAGAAGTCTCCCAGGTTCTGAGCCTGGGTGTTTAGAGTCCTGAAACTCAGGAAGGTATCCTGTTTTTAGAGTCTAGGTGTTTCACGGTCCTGTTACCAGTGTCTAGTAACAAACCACAGGCACTCGGGGACCCGGAGAGCCAGCCCAGCAAGGCCATCTGGCCACACAACAGGGTTTCCAGATCAGAAGTCGAACAGGCCCCTTTTCAGACAACAAAAAGAAAATCCTGCAGCTGTCAAGGGTCCGCTCTGTAACTTTCCGGGCCTACTGACAGGCCCACAAAAACAGAAGTGTGGGATGGGAGGGCACACAGGACGCCCTACTCTCACTGGCACCCCAGGCAGCTGCAGCTTTCTGCAAACGGTGCTCCCACGATGTACACCTTCGTACAGTGTGGGCCAACGCTTATCCCCAACAAGAGGGCACTCAAGGACAGGCAGGCACCGAGGGTCGCCTGTGTCTTGAGGTTCCTGGGCTGGCCTCGAGTGACCCACACGACCACCCCCACCTCGCGCGCGCGCACTCCCCACTTCCCGCTCGCCACAGGGAAGGCTGCTGTTCCCAGGACAAATACGGAGCATCCGGGCTGATGCCCGGAGGCCGAGCTCTAGGAGTCCTAGGCCGGCTGGCCGGCCGCCTACCGTGGAACTCACCTTAGCGAGCCGGAGGCGCGGTTGGTCTAGGCGGGCGCGGCCCTCAGTAGGTTGACCCACAACTTCTACCCGAGGGCACCAAGGCCCTCTTCGCGCCAGCCGCGATGCTCCGCCGGCTTAGCGCGTTTCGACCGCGAAGCTCCAGTCTTGGCCCGGCAACCTTACGCCGCCTCCGTAGCACCCGCCGTCCCGCCCGGCCCACCCGGTACGCCTTACGCCGCTTCCGTAGCGTAGCGCCCAGCCGGGGCCCGAGGCTACAGCGCGTCAGGGGCGCACGCGGCACTGGGAATCGTGCCGGGACTACGACTCCCACAAGGCAGAGCGACGCCGCTCAAGGCACGCCGGGAGTTGTAGTCCATGAACAGCCCCAATCTCTGCTCTATTTTCCTGAGCTCTTGCCCTCCAAAACCGGCAGGGAACGCTCAGTCTACCAATTCGGATAGGACTCCCAAGCTAGTTTCCTGAGGCGCGCGGGATCCGGGGAGAGAATGGACTACAGCTCCCAGGATCCCCTGAAAGGGACTTCTGGGCAAAGCTCCGGTGGGCGTCTTCGCGGCCTGAGACTCACTGCGACAGAGGCGAAGTCAAGAGTCTGGGTCACGATTTTGTATGTTTGAAACTGTTGTCTCCACCACTGGGTCGGAAGGTGGTCCGGCCCAACCTGGCTGCCCGTCCTGCGATCCACTTCTCCTAGCCCCTTCAGCGATTTTTGGTTTCTGTCCCAGAGGTCTGAGGCAACAATCGTGTTGGACCTGCTCTGTCCGAGGTCCGTGCTTATTCAAGTGTGCCAGATAGGCACATCACTTTTTCTAGAGAAACACTGACGTCTTGACGTCTAATTGAGACATCTTCCCAAGTCCTTTGAGTGATATTCACAAACGCCCCCAAAGCTTTTTTTTTTTTTTTTTTTTTTTTTTTATTCTTTAATACCCTCTAACTCCCCGAAGTAACTGAAAACTCCCATCCACTTGTCGTCTGCAACCTGGAAGATGGAGAGAAGACATAGCAGGTAGCAAAGGGACACCAAAAGAAGCCCCTGGGATGCCCTGCACTCGGGATATTTTATCAGAGATTGGTTGACATTTGTCCCAGGACTCAGAAAACTTGAGCCTGGGTCAGTAGAGCCTACAGGTCATGTTTCTGTGAAATCATTCACGCTGGAGAAGCTTAGCGAGCTAAAGAGAGGCCACTGAATTCAGTATGCTGTGTGGGGACACCTGTGCCCAAGTGTGGAACACACCACATTCTGGCAACACTGGAGCAGAAACTAGCATCCTGAGCACTCTGAGGGAATCGGCTGGGGTTGAATCCACTGACACAGTGGTTGGGTTACTGCTCACTCATCAATGAGCAGTCACTAAATGGCCTCTTTGGCGAGTCAGGCATTATGGTGACATGGGGAAACTAGAAGTAAGGCCTATCCTCAAGGAGAAGATAGATCTGCATCCAAAAGACTGAAGAGCAATGGTTTGACAACTCATTAGTGGGTGATGACGCCCATGGTCAGAGCAACGACCCAGATGGATCCAGGACAGGCCTTTGCAGCATCTCTGGTCACTGTGGATCGTCACTAGTGCCATGATGCACCACCCTAATAAGATTATCACACGGAAGGTTTTGTTGGGTTATTCCAGCTTGTTAACTGAGCCATAATCTCTGTTATTGTAGTATGGGCCAGAAGATACAACCCTGATGAGTGGTTGGACCATAGAAAAGCCTGTAGAAGGGCAGAGAGACCTCTGCAGGGACAGAAGCCACCGATCAACAACCCCGAGTCCTGAGCAGATGGGACCCAACACTGTTCTGAGCTTTGGGGACATAGCAACAAAGAAAACGAACCTAGTTTGGGCATAGCTGCATAGTCCTGTCAAGAGGTTGAGGCAGAAGGGTCCTAAGTTCAAAGTTGACCTGGGCTAGAAAGTAAGTTCAAGGCCAGCATGAACAATAGGATTTGTCTCAAAAAGTAAAGAGCTGGGGCATGGTGTAAACTCCTTTAATCACAGCACTTGCACTTGGGAGGCAGAGGCAGGCAGGCAGGCAAGTTTTGAGGCCAGCCAGGGCTACAAAGTGAGATTCTTTCTCAGAGAGAGGGAGGTGGGAGCTGTGGGACAGACCTATGATTCCCAACACTTGGGAGGTGGAGAGAGGAAAGTCAGGGCCATCCTCGATTACATAGTGAGTTGGAGGACAACCCAAATCACTTAAGACCCTACCCAATAAACAAAACAAAAAGGTACAGTTATAAAGGTGCTTGCAGTAGATACAGTTCAGCTCCAAGGCTTGTGCAGCACTTGTGAAACCCTAGGTTAGAAAGAGACTCAGAAGCTTTTACAGAGTCAAGATCACATTGGATGAACACTCAGGAAGCTTGATACACTAGGCAGGCCAGCCAGTCTGGTCAAAGTTTCTCTGTCTTCCACGAGTGACCTATGAACACCAACCTCATAATGAACACAAATGGAGGTTCCTGGCTAAAATTCCTGCTGTGCTCTGGACTTCTTCCAGGTTCCAAAATGCCAGCAAGTTCAGGGCAGATAGGTCTAAGAACTTTCCTGGGCCGACCAATAGTGGGTATTCCTCAGGGTGGTCAGGGAGGCTAGTGTCAATTTAAATTTGCAGAGGACAAGCTTCGTTTATGCTGTTCTCTAACGTATATTTACAAAGACTGGAAAGATATGAGTAATGTCAGGAGCCAGCTGGAGCCAGGATCTGCCTTGGGAGGAAAAAAAAAAAAAAAAAAGAGTTCCCCTTGCTGCAGGCTCAGGAGTTGGCAAGCCCTGTGGCCACTCCCTCCATACCCCCTACCATCAGAGGTAGAGTGAGAAGTCTGCTAGGGGAATGCCATCTTCTGGAATTATCCTTAGGCATACTGCTGGCCTCCTACAAGAAACTCTTAGACAGCTTTTTCTGGAATGTTTCTACTGACAACCCATTTCAACCAAGAGATCCCCCTACACCATATCCCAAATGGGGAGCTATCTTCCTTGGACTTGGTTCCCTCAGAATCTTCCACTGGTTGAATGGACAATAAGCGGAGGAGCTGCCAGGCTGTGGTGGGATGTCCTCCTTGTTCCCGGCTTCTCCTAGGCACAGAGAGGCCTTGCTGCTGCCAATCAAATGCAGATAGATAGAACCCGGGCAGGAAGGCAACAGGTGCATGCACATAGAACCTGGGCGGGAGTGCAACAGGTGTACGGTTTTCGGCTCTGGTGATGTGCAGTGTCAGTGACTACAGTGCCACCCAAACTCTTCAGATGCTCTTCAGCCCTTCAGTCTGGCCACTGAGCCACACCTGTCCTCTGGCCTTTGCCTCCTCCCTACCCTGCTTTTGTGTTCCGTGTTGGCCCCTCCTGGGGCTCTTCCTCCTCCTGTTCTCTGTGGCTCTGAACACTGACCCCACTACACAGTGACTCCTCTTTGACACAGGATATGTAGCCCGGGGCTAAGACACTGTGCCTGAGATCTGTGATATCCATAGCTATCGTTCCCCCTCTTCCCACTTGCCAATCTCAACTAAGGCTCCAGGTCACCCCTCTGGGCTGTATTCGGGGCACAGGTCCTACCATTAAGGGGCTGCTGGAGGTCACTGGAATCTTGCCTTTAAGAAGTGACTGTCAACAGAGCTACTCACTTCAGGATCCTGACGCTGCCCAGGAAGTAGTAGCCCATCCTAGAGGAGCAATCCTGGGGCCTCGGGGTAGGCCCAACTCAATTAAGGCAGAAAACTGAGGGTCTCCCATGGCCTGTACTTAAATGACCAACATCATCTCCCTAGAAACCCGGGGAAGACAAAGGCCATGACCATTGCCACCCAGCCCACCACCCCTGTGGAGAAAGGAGGCGGCCTCTGTGTGCAGTAACAGCTTTAATCTGTGGTGGCTGACACATGGGACAGAATCCTCTTGGCCTCCCATCCCTCCACGCCCCGGAGGAAGAGCTACTTCTCAGGGAGCTGAAGCAGGTGCATTGAGCAAGTTGGTGATTGGTGTTTCCCAGTGTCTCCTGGAGACCTGTGTTTACAGTGAGCACTGCAGGGCAAACAGCAGACAGGCCACAAGACCTTATACAGGGCTTGGACCTGGGCACAGAAAGGCAGGGCTCCAGTATTGATATATTATACATATATATATATATATATTTCTTATGTATACACAGATAGTTTTCTCTCTGGAAAGTATTAAAAAATTGATCAACCTTCAGTCTATAAAAAATACCTACTCTACATGATAGAAAAATCTGTCTTCCAAGTTTACACTGATTTACACACAAGGCTTTCCCCAAAATGTACAATACGAGGCAACATCTTAAACCGTACTGTATAAGGTAGGCAAGGGGGAGGGGAGGCAGTGAAGGGATGCAGGGCAGCATGTGTGGGCAGGAGCACACATACACTCACACCCGTGTGCACACTCATGCATGCGCACACGCTCACCCACACACACACTCACACAGCCTATGGTATGGTCTCGGTTGGTATGTCCGGACTCCAGCTAGTGCTCAGGCTCGGGCCCAGATGCCTATGGTTACTGCAGCTCTGTGGGTAGTGCAGGGGCAGGCAGCAAGCCTTCCTCTACCTCTGGGTCTATGCAGAGCCTCCTCCACCCATCCACCATTAAAATGACACCCAGATAAACCTCTGGGAGACACCCAGAGAGTTAAACTCAGAATCAGAGAAGGAAACTTGGTTCCAGAGGCCTTGACTATTGTCTGGGAAATATAAACTTTTCCCAAGGCAGTAAAGTCAGTCTGAGGAGAGTGTGGGCCCAGGAGCCAGGGTAGGCCACACCTGAGGAGAAGCAGCACCTGCACCTGGGATCAGAAAGGCCGACAGTGTTCACCAGTCCAGAAAGTGAGTTCCGTAGTCAGAATGAACTAGCTGCTCTAGCCCCCACAAGAGGACCAGAGCTGATGAGTTACTGTAGTGAGGGTCTGGCCAAAGAATGGCTGTGTGGCTTGGAGGCCCTGGGTCCAAAGGTGAATGGAAGCCCATCTGCTGGAAGATGGCCTGAGCAGCGCAAGGAGAATAGGTGGCCTGTAGCTCCAGACCAGGCCCCACGTGTGCCATCTTTGCTGCCTGTCTTTCCAGCGCTACCATGTCTATGTCCAACTTTGAGTCCTCAGCTTGCATACAATGTGGGAATGGCCAAGCTTGGGTGGCACCATGTCAACATGAGTGAGAGGCAGCAACTGAGGTGAGGATTCATTTTCTCCCTCTCTTCCTAACAGGCTGCATAGCAAGAAGAGGGGTGGGCCAGAGAGTCATCAAAGGGCCCATCCCGGCCTGAGAGACCATCCCCACATATGTGCATACTGCTGAGCAGACATGGGTGCTATCGGCTAAGCCGGCTTGTGGTGGGAGGCCCTGGCATCCTGACGTTCAGAGAGCCCAGGCTCTGAACTCCTCGGCTGCTGTGGACTTCCCTTTCTTCCTTCGTATAGCCCTCTGCAGCCCTTCTTTTAAGATCCCAGTCCAGCTGCATGAGGGCACATACACCCTAGGCTTGGTAAGCAGTAGGACCAGCTGGTCTTGGCTCTTGTTGTGGCAAGACAGGGCCGCTCTGGGGTGCTGTGGAGTCTATAACCAGCCCAAACTGGGCTAAGATGTCCTATTTGACCTCTAGGATGGATGGGTTGGTTTCCAGGATGGCCACAATAATCCTGTCAATGTAGTCTTGCAGGCGGAAGTTTATCTCCTCCTGCTTCTGGATTGCTTCCATGAGCTGCAGGAAAGCAAAGAGTCAGTACAGAGAGGGCATGGGAGCTGTATAAATGGGTTATTGCCTAGGGTTCTACAAAGGCGAGGCAAGTTACCTCATCTCGGGAGACAGAGCTGATCTCAGCAGCCAGAGATTCTGAGAAGGATGTGGAGAAGAGGCTCTTGGCACCCTGGATGCTGAGGGTGATGATCTGTCCATTCAGCTCATCGTTTTGCTCCTTCAGGTTGCGGTTGTCCTAGGGGACATGACAGTGTCACACTGAGCTATATGCTCCCTGCTGGAACAAGGCCCTGCCAGAAAGGACCCCAGCTTGGTGCCCGTTCTCAGGCCAGCCTCCCGGGAGCTTCTGTGAGGGTAGGTGCCAGGGCAGAGTCACACCTGTTTGAGCCTGCGGACCTCCTGCTCGAGCTCGCTTTCCCGGGCACGGCTGTTGTACTCCTGCAGGCCCAGGCTGCTGCTGCGGCCCCTCCGCTGCTCCACCTCCAGTCTGAGGAGCTGTAGATGTTCTAGCTGCTTGCGGAGGTCCTCGATCAGCTGTGAGGCAAACACAAGGCTGGTTGCCCTGACCACCCTCTCCTGGGAGGATGCTGACCTGTGTTCCAAGAGACAACTACACACCAGTGGCATTGCCCAGAGTGGCAGGAAACAGAACAGTTTCCTGGCCTCCATCAGAGAGCAGGCTACATTAGACAATATGGGACCACGGGGAGGGGACAAAGGGCCCAGCTCACCTCCTGAGTTGCTTCCTTGTCTCTCTGGAATTGATGTCGCTCGTGGCTCAGCTTATCCCCCATCTTCCTCTTATTCTCCTGCTCTTCACTGAGCCGCTGTGTCAGCTCTTCAATCTCATCCAGCATCTTCTGCTTCTCCTGCAAAGACAGACACTTGTGTGCACAGGCAGTGGCACTGCTTTACCCCTACATGCAGCCTGACCCAATGGCCTGTGCTCCAGACCATCGCTCTCCTATGCAGAGACAGGCGTCGTGGCTCCCACTCTCAGTCCACAGCAGGACTATCTGGACTTTCCTGTCATTCTGGCAAAGCTGCCCTGTCTTGTGGCCATGGGACCTTCATATGGACAACATCTAGCCTAGCATCTGGTGGATGCTTCTGCTTGGCTCCTCCTCTGGATTAGAGGAGTCAGACCCTATGTAGGCTGAAAACACCCTCACTTCAGAGCTTCCCAGAGGGCTCTGTGAGGGTGCCTCTCGGAGAAAGACTTGAACACAAGGTAACAGTATTGCCTCTGCCTGGTAATGTGCAAGACCCATATTCTAGTCACCTCAGACAATAGTTCACAGTGTGGGCTCTGGGCCTGCAGATTCCAGGGCTGTGGGAGAGCTGAAAGGCTGGGTTGGGCAAAATGTCTGAACAGCAGTTCCTTCACATTTGAGCACAGCAGGGCCCCGTGTTGCCAGCCTGCCCTGCCCTCCTCTGTTTTGAAGGCCCTGGCCACAGGCCCTGGCTCCATGCTGGTGTGACAGGCAGAGGGTCGAGGACAGCATTTATTTGAGGCAGGGCCTTCCCCACAAGCACCAGGCCAGCAGCTCACCTCTTCCAGACGCTCGATATTGGCCTTCAGACAAGGTGTACAGGACCGCAGCTCGCTGTTCTCCTCATCCAGCTGCTGCAACCTAGGACCCGAGAACAGGTTGGGACCTGCAGTGTGCCTCCATAGGACAAGGGAGCTGTTTTGTGACCCATGATAATTCCAAGTGCCGCAGCTAGTCCTTACCTCCGCACCCAGCTTTTTTGCTGTCTGTCGTCTTTTGAGATAGCGTGTTATAAACGCCTGATTGGCCTCAGCCTTCCTGTGTAGACATGAATGACTCTGAATTCCTGATTCACTAGCTTCTATCTCCTGAATGCTGGGATTACAGGTGTGTGCTACCTTGCACTGGCCATGATGGCTTTTAAAGGTACATTGGGTTTAGGAATGTTAGTTTTATAGAAAAACTGTAGACAGTGTAGAGTCTCTGACTTGCTTTTCCTTCTGTCACTGTGGCACATCACAATCTATACCCAGCTGGGCTACACTGTTAATCGGCACTGTCACCACTTGGCCAAGGTGTGTCTGCTAGGTATCTCTCTACTAGCCTCTTAGTTCACACCCCGAGAGGGCCCCACACAAGCTCCTGGAGGAGTGTTGAAAGACAATATTTGGTAGTCCTCTGGGAGCAAAATACACACACAGGCTGACCGTGTGGCTCAGGACTCCTGCCCATCTCATTTACACCCTGGCTATCCTCCTGGGACTGTCGCCACTGCCACTCACGGCTCTGGTCACTAAAGCTCTTGCAGTTGGCCCCAGTGTCCCCTTGGCACAGCTCCTCAGTGTGTGGGTGTATCAGTTGCTCCTGGAATGTGACTATTAATGGACGAAGCATCTATGGTGTCAGTTCCAAGTGAACACAAAAGTGACTCTGCCAAATTCTCTTAAAATAAAAATTGGTATTTTCTGGGATATGGGAGAATGAAGTCTGTGTATACCAGGCTGGCCAGCCCACCTGGGTTTAATGCCCCAAACCCACATGGTAGCAGGAGAGAAATGGTTGCCTCAGGTTGTCCTCTTGACCTCCACACATGTAGATGCATGCACAAAAACAAATTAATATAATTAAACTTTTTTTTTTTTGAGACACAGTTTCTCTGTGTAGCCATGACTGTCCTTTAACGCAGGGATCTGCCTGCCTCTGTCTCCAGAGTGCTGGGATTAAAGGTGTGCACCACCACTGGCTGGCTGATTGCCCCTTTTTCTATTTTTAAGCTTCTCCTAGATGCTGTACCTCCCAGGGAGACGAGGCTTCTCCTGCCTGCATCAGAGCTTTGCTCACCTGGCCTGCAGGTTCTCGATCTCGATGCTCTTCTCACGTTCCATCTTGCACAGGAGCTCCTTCTGCTTCCTGGTTTCTTCCAGGACCCTCTCCTGGGCTCTGAGCTCCTGCTCCTTCAGCTGCTCTTCCAGGGCATTGGCTCTAAAGGCAAAGGGGAGGAGATGTGCATGTCTGAAGGCAGAGGAAGGGTTGTTCTGAGGCACTGTGCACGAACCAGGCAGCAGCCATCTTGGGATGGCCGCTACAAGCTCCGACATGTACGACCGGAAGAGGCAGAAAGTGTTGGGGTGAAAGGGCCACAGAACTCTGCAGAAAGCAAATGTGACAGGAAGTCCTTATTGCTGAGGCAAGTAGAGACTTCAGAGGGCACAGTCAGACTGTAGCGAGGCTTCCATACCCTTGAGGAGCTCTCTAGGAGACCAGCTCCTAGAGAGGATTCACTCTGCACCTGGCCCCCACCAGGATCACTTAAGAGAAGAACACAGGACTGTTTATAGGCTTGAGGCTCTGCCCCTTCCTGGCTTCCTGCAGAAGACAGGGATGGTCAGAGACAGTCCTGGAGAAAAGTACTGCCAGCCCTGCCCACAGCTGTGAAAAAGCTAGAACCCTGCATGTGCACCTCAGCTCCTCTTTGGTATATGAAAATGACGACCAGCGAGGAGCACCAGGCAGTACAGAGGGTTTGCAGAACAATGAAGAAACATGTCATACAGTCTGGAAAGCTGCATGTCTGCTGCTGTGAGGAAATAAGACTGGCATGCTATGGGAAGAACGGCAGTCTTAAAGCCAGGTGAGGTGGTGCACGCCTGTGATCACAGCACTTGAGAGGCAGAGGCAGGCGGATCTCCGTTGAGTTTGAGGCCAGCCTGTTCTACAAAGTGAGTCCAGGACAGGCAAAGCTACAGAGAGAAACCCTGTCTCGAAAAACTAAACCAAAAACCACTCTGAGAAACTCACAATAGGAGGGTGTGGCTCAGAAGTAGAGTACCTGTTCAGCATATACAAGACCCTGAGCTGACTCCAATGAGGGACAGGATTGGGAGAAAAGGAAGAAGTGAAAAATGAGTAAGAAAATTAAAGTAGAAAAGAAAGTTTCAAATTCAAAACTGAAGATATTACATAAGGTAAAAAGGAACAAAAGATAATATTAGAGATTATGAAAATGAAGAAGATTAAAGTTCTAGAATATATATTATGACCAAAAGAAGTAAAGGCTGATGAAAAAAGAGACTATAGAGAGAACTTTAGAATTCCCCTAAAGGGTGGCAACAGACTAACTACCTGAGTCTGAGTCCCAGAAAACACAGGTGGAAAGAAAATCAACATGTGTGCATGCACACACGCATACCCATTTCTCAGAGATGAAGATGGAAAGTTAAGTCACAGATACCTTTGAGAGCCACATGGAGACATCCAGGGTGAGAAACAGATCACAGAGAGCGTGAAGAGCAGCAGCACAGGCCAGTGCAGGCCAGCCACACTCAGAACACACCTGTAAGGGCTCCTAATCCTTGTGCCTCCACCTCCTAAGAGCTGCTGTTACAGGCACACAAACCCAGACGTGGCTCCTCTTCATTTCTTGTTTAAAGGTTATTTACTTTTAGTTTATGTGCATGGGTGTTTTGCTTGCATGTGTGCCCATGGGAGGACACCGTGCAACCTGACTTCCTGTTCAGTTTACCTTTAGGCTAAGTCACTTGAAAAGGCTGAGGTGCACAGAGGCCATGGACAGAGGCCACCCATGGCCCTGCACAGTAGCTTCCTTACCTGTTCGTCCAGGATGGGGCTCAGTCCTCAGCCCCAAAGCCCCTACCTGGTGTCCTCTGAGGGCCAGGCCAGCCATGTAAACTGCACTGACTCCATTTCCTCTTCTGCAAAATGGAGAAAGTATCTGGCTCTAAGAGTTACTGAAGGATGAAGAGGGCAACAAGAGCCTCAGGAGACTCAACCCAGGACCAATGCCAAGGTGGGAATGCCAGGTTCCCCCAGGCCAGGTTCTCAGTAATAGTCATCAGAGGCTCCCAGACTCTAAACCAGCTGCAGACAGACCCCGGGTCAACTTCATGAAGAGTACTAGGTGCTGCCGAACACTGACCTGCATGGGCTCTGAGTACAATGATGCCCTCCCACTTGGTGGGTCCATTTTGAACTCAGAGCCGTATGCAGCACATGCCCCACTAACTAAGCCACTCTCTCCACGTGAATTTTTTTTTTAAAGATTTATTTTATGTATGTGGCTGTTTTGCCTCCATGTATGTCTGTATACCACATGTGTGCAGTTGTCAGTGGAGGCTAGAAAAGGATGCTGGATCCTCTGGAAGAGCAGCTAGTGCTCTTAACTGCAGAGCCATCTCTCCAGTGCCTTGTTTTAAAATTTTAAAACTTGTGTGTGAGCGCATGCACATGTGTGTTGCACATGCGTGTGGAGGGCAGCGGACAACTTCGGTGTCATCCTCAGGAACACTGTCTAATTCCTCTGAAGCTCACTGATTACACAGACCAGCTGCAAGCCCCAAGCATCTTCCTGTTTCTACCTCCCCAATGCTGGGATTATGCCCTTGTGCCTAACATTTTTACAGGGATGTGGGGTTAGAACGCAGGTCCCCATGTTTGCCAAGGCACACACTTTACTGACTAAATGATTTCCCTAGCACCATTCCCTATATCTTAGGTTGGTCTTAGACTCACTGTATAGCCAAGAATATGCTTGAAGTTGCCATCCTCCTACCTCCCAAGTATCTGAACTGTGTGTCTGCAATACCATGCCCAGCTCTCCATTTTAAGGTATACCTCCCTAACTGCTCCTGGCAGATAGAACTATCTTGCTTGCATACAAGCAAGTAGTACCCTCGCTCACTTTTCTAGGGACCTACTGTCTATGACATTGTGACAGATATCTGCAGAGTCTCAGCTCAACCCGCTATAGTCCCCTGGCCATGCCTGGTACCCAGCCAGCATGCGAATGGATGGGTGGTACCAGTTGCGAACTAGCTCTCTGCCTGGTGAGGCAGGGAATGATGAATAGGGTATGAGTGATGCTGTGGTGGCTAGAGGCAGGGCCGGGCCACAGGCCACAGGCCACACTTACCTGTGTACCAGCTGGAGGTTCTCTTGCCTCAGCCTGCCATGCTGCTCCCCAGCAGCTGCACTGTCCTTCTCCAGCTCGGACACCCGTCTCTCCAGGAAGATGACCTACATAAAGAGATGACTACCTGAGGAACAAGTAGGAAGAGGCTGAAGCTGGGCCCCCCCATGGGACATCTGGGGCAGCATGGGAATTTCCATAGATCCACAGCAATGCAATGCTCACAGGGTCACAGCCAACTCAACAGAACAAGGGCAAATGTCACTGGTAATCCACACTCTAGTTGGTACCAAGAGTACCTTCTGGCTTGTGCATGGCTCACCATGAGGCTCACACACACATTCACATGTGAGACTCAACTACCAAACAAAACACTGGAGGAGGCCAGATGTCTGGGGACAATAGGAATAGAAATGGCCATGTCTATGTCTTTCCCTCCTTCAGGAGAGAACATAAGGAGAAAGAGTCAAGCAGAAAGAGGAGTCAGCCTCAGAACACAGGGTAAGACTCTGAAGATGCTGTAGAGAAAGGGATATTGCAACTGTGTCTGGATACTAGGAGAGGGGAAGCAGAAGAGGCCTGGTAGAAACAGGAGGAGGCAAGGCAGGTTGGAGGCCAGGAGGGTGCCAGGCAAAGGAGGCACAGGTGAATGTGGAGCAGAGTACAGAGGAAACTGGCTGGCTGCAGGGAAACCCACGTGGGAATCATATGAGTACAGGCAGAGATGAGATACAGGGTGAGCGAAGTGGCCTGTAAGATGAGGTGCAGGGAAGGCAAAGCAAGGCACTTACACCTGCCAGGTACAAAAGACACCCGGGAGGATTATTGCTGCCACCCTTACTAGATTCTCACTGGCCCTTGGCAAAGGCAGATGACCACAAGTGAGGCTCCTGGCCAGGCTTCAGCAACGTACACAGGCAAGCCCGTGGTGGAGTTATTTCTGTGGTGTTTAGAGTGAAAGTGGCCTCAAAGGGCTCATGTATTTGAAGAGCTGGTATGACAGCCATTCTTGGTTGGAATTAGCTAAAACGCCAGCAGCTGGGCACACCTGTGAGTTCCAGCCTCGGAGGGTGCCAGGAGTTAAAGCGAAGGCTTTAGCTGGTAAAGGATGGGATCCTGTGACTTGAGATGGGGATGTGAGGGAGAAGCCTACTGAGGCTGAGAACTTTGACCCCTCTGGTTCTCATGGGTTTATCTTATCTGATGTATTCTCCCCAGCAGAAAATCTACTCCCACCCCAAAACTCCGAAATGTTGCCTTTTGTGCCTTTGACTGAAGAAACTGATCCTTCGTTGTCTGGTAAACCAACAGCGACTGTCTCTAAGGAGATGCCAGGCAACACAATACTGATGTCCCTCGGGGCCGACCAGTCGCTGCCACTAGACCTATAAGACCTATAACCAGACTACAGGCTAAGCAGGCTCCTAGAGGGGAGGTAGAAAGTGTTGTCCACGAGGAGGTGCACTACACTGCTGAAGGGCTTAATGAGTTTGCTAATTCCTTCAAGCAGAAGTCTGGGGAATGTGAGCAGGAATGGATTTTAAGCGTGTGGGGTGATGGTGGAAGGATCATAAAATTGAATCAAGCTGAGTTTATTCATATGGACCCACAGAATGGAGAGTCTAAGTTTAATATGGAAGCTTTCACAGTTCCAAAAAATGGGGGGGGGGGCAGTCAAAAGCCAAGTGGTGGTGGCTTTAATCCCAGCACCAGAGAGGCAGATGGACGTGGATCTCTGTGAGTCCCAGGACATCCTGGTTCACAGATAGAGGTCCAGGACACCCAGAGCTACACAGAGAAAACTGTCCTGAACAATGTCCCCCGTCCCCCAAAAAAAGTGTCAAAAGTTTGAATGGTGGCCGAAGCATTTGTCAAAAGATGGCCTACTGAAAAGGAATTGGAGGTATGTCTTTTGGCTTAGTGCTGATGAAGGGATTTTAGGGCTCCGGGAAACTGTAATGCCAGAGTGGGAAGCTGTGTAGGCCTAATCCTCCACAGTGGGGAGGCGGAGAAGACATACCCTTCATTAACAGTGTAAGACAAAAATGGCGAGGGGCACCAGCACATCTGAAGAGCTTTACTGCCGCCCTTTTCCTTGTTCCAGACCTTAGGCTGGAAGAATTAAATACATTGTGGGTTTAACTGGGCCAGAAGCAGCAGGGGCCAGGTGGCAGCACTGAAGTGCCAAAGGTAAGGTGATCTACTTATGGCGATGCTCAGCATAGGCAAAGTAATTTTTATGCTGGCATGGACCTTTGGTACTGGCTCATTAATCGTGACGTCTCCAGGAAGGAAACAGATGAGAAGCCAACTGCATTTCTGTTTGATCTATATAAGCAGAAAAACTCTAAACAAATAAAAGAAAGAAGGCTACATTGATTATAGCAAAAGGGAATTTAGGCCTGTGATCCAATTTCCAGACTTGAGCCAGTTTGGATATTCAGAAATCCCTTGAATGAAGGGATGGCCAGGTTCTCCTGATGAAGGCCTTAATAATCTATCTAAGAGTTTGCTGTTAGTCTTTCATCTGTCCTTCCCCAGAGGGGCCTGTGGGCCTTTACAAGGGTAACTGCACATTAGGGAAAAGGAAACAGCCTGATGTTCCCTGATCTGTTAGAGACTGGCTCTGAATTGATGCAGATTTGGGAAAATCCCAAGAAACATTTTGACCCTCCAGTTAGAGAAGGGGCTTATGGAGGTCTTAAGCCAATAGGCTAAGAAAGGAAGAACAGTGTTAGGAGGGGAGACTGATTCAGATTACCAAGGAAAATTGGATTGCTTTTCCACAATGGAGGTAGGAAAGATTATGTGTGCTGCACAGTAGATCCTTTAGGGCACCTCTTGGTGCTATCATGTCCTATGATTAACGTTTATCAGAAACGGCAACAGCCTAATCCAGGCAGGATGACAAAGGGAAGAGACCCTTCAGAAATGACAGTATGGGTTACTCCTCCAGGAAAGAGCCAAGACCTGCTGAGATGCTTGCTGAGGGTAGAAGAAATACAGAATGGGACGTAGAAGAAGGCGGATATAATACCTGCTAAGGCCACGTGACCAGCTGCAAAAACAAGGATTATAATTGATGAGTTTTTCTGTCTGATTTTGTTAAGAATGTGTTTGTACAGATATTTGTGTTTCTTCAATTTCTTTGTCATGAAAAGTAAGATTAATAGAATGTCAATGGTTACCATATTTAAGTTTGAGATACTAAAAGAATGTCCATCAAGGGTTAATACAACCTATTTGGGGTTGTATGTGGGATAGTTAAATCATGTTAGAGATCATTTTTGACATGGTTATAGTTTTCATTTGGCAGTTAATCATGACATGAGGAGATATGATTGTTTGTCAAGTCGACCAGGGGTGAAGTTGTGATGACTGTTCTTGGTTGTCAACTTGACTACATCTGTAATTAAATAAAACCCAAATGGCTGGGTACACCTGTGAGGGATCACCCCCCACCCTCTGAAACAGGGTTACTCTGTGTAGCCCTGGCTGGCCTAGAAGTCACTCTGTAGACAGGCTGGCCTCAAACTCAGAGACCCATCATCTGCCTCTGCCTCCTGGATGCTAGGGGAGAATTTTTCTTAATTAAATAATTCGAAGTGGAAAGGCCCACCCTGAATCTGGGCCACACCTGCTGGCAGCCTATATAAAGGACATGGAGGAAAGAAGCTTGTTCTTTGCCTGCTTGCTCTCAAACTCATTGGCAAGTCCACTCCTTCACTGCCATCAGAGGCCACTTTTTTGGGCGGTTCTCATATAAACAAAAGACCAGCTGAGAGGTCCAACCTTGTAGACTGAACAACTACTGGATTCTTGTACCTTCCATTGGTAAACAGCCATTGTTGCACAAGCTGTAAATTATTCTAATAAATCCCCTTTATCTCTCTCTCTTTCTCCACACACACACATATATTTACACACATACATATGTATATGTGTGTGTGTATATATGTATATATATATATGTATATATATAAAATATGATTCATTCTGTAAGTTCTGTTCCTGACTAATACAGCTGGAAGGTGGTCCTCAGTTGATAAAACTAGGAAGTTTAAGATGTGTGTTTTGGGACTGGAGAGATGGCTCAGTGGTTAAGAGCACTGTCTGCTCTTCCAAAGGACCCAGGTTCAATTTCCAGCACCCACATAGCAGCTCACAACTGTCTGTAACACAAATTCCAAGGGATCTGACACCTTCACACCAATGCACATAAAATAAAAATTAAATAAATTATTTTTTTTTAAAAAGTGTGTTCTTTTTGGAGGAGGTATGTCACTGGGGTCAGACTTTAGAGGTTTCAAAAGCCTCCACCATTTTTACTGCTCTCTCTACCTTATGACTGTGTCTTACAATGTTGTAAAGAGAATATCTGTGTATTCTATAAATGCAATACCTGTGAATTAAAAAAAAAAAAACACAAAAAACCTATGGCCTATAGGAAAGGGTAGAATATAAGGTGAGACACTGGGATGGCAGAATGGATTAGGGGATAGAGCAGGCATGGGAGAGTCACCCAGGAAGGTGTGAGGAGGACAGACACATGGTACTTGAGTAGAGGTAATCAGCCATGTGACAGAATGTAGCTTAGTATAAACGAGTTATTTTAAGTTATGAGCTACCTATATGGTCTAGTATTTGTAAATTTACATTGAGTCTCATGAGTCATATGGTCTAGTATTTGTAAATTTACATTGAGTCTCATGAGTCATTATTCAGGGAGCTTGGGGCCAGGAGGAAAAGCACACACGCTACTATACAATGTAAGCTTTCAGCTGCTACTCCAGTGCCATGCCTGCCTGCTGCCATGTCCCCTGCCACAATGGTGATGAACTCCTATCCCTCTGGAACTGCAAACCCCAAATGAACTCTTTCTTTCTTCTATAAGTTGCCTTGGTCATGGTGTCTTATCAGAGAGAGAAAGAGAGAGAGAAAGAGTGTGTGAGTCTGTCCCAGGGAGGCCATTGCAAGAAGCTGTGAAAGTGAAGCCTGAATGTTGTTGGAGACACCAAGATATTGGAGGTGCTGGAATCATGAAATGTCTGCCAGGGAGAGCTGCACACAAGGAGTGAGATCAGCCCAAGAGAGGAAAAAGTGTGCTGCAGTCAGCAAAGCTGAAAGGGTGAAGCCGTCTAAGCCCTTTACACTAGACATGGAGCTACAAGATTTAGAGTCTGATCTACTAGGTTTTGGTCTTGCTTTGGTTCAGTATTTCCCCACTGTGGCCCTAATCCTCTCTTCTGGCATGGAATATACACTGCACGCTGGAAGTTTGTAATTTCCTTTTTGAGTTTACCGAAGGTTACAATTAAAGAGATTACCTTGAGACTCAGAAAGACTTTGGACTTTGGAACTATGTTGAGACTGTGACAGATGACAGGATGTTTAAAGATGGACTAAACTCATTTGCGTTACGACATGGCCACAGAACTATGGGGCCAAGGAGTAAAATGTGGTGGCTGGAATGAGAATGGCCCCCATAGACTGTGTATTTGAATAGCTGGCCTGAGCTGAAGGAACTGTTTGGGAAGGAGAATAGGAGGTGTGGTCTTGTTAAAGGAAGTGTGTCACTGGAGGCAGGCTTTGAGTTTTCAAAAGCCCCAAGCATTCCTAGTGAGCTCACTCTGCTTCATGACTGTTCCTCAAGAGGTGAGCTCTCAGTTGCTGCTCCGGTGCCACGCCAGCCTGCCTGGTGCCATGCTCCTGGCTGTGATAGTCGTGGACTCTACCGTCTGAAACTATATGCCCCAAGAAAACCCCGTCCCTGGTATCTCCTTCTTGGTGCTCCCCTGAAAGGACTCACATGAAAGAAACCGGCACAATGGCTAATGGCAGTCTGGTGAGTTGGTTCATTGGGTAAAGGGAGGTGAGAACCAATTCATTTTTGTTGTCCTATGACTGCCACACGTGTGTAGCATTGGTGTAACCACACACATGCACACAAAAAGCAAACATAATAAAATATTATGGCTCCTGTTTGATTCTACTTGTTATGACTTGCTGTGCCCAAACGCTATGAAACGCCCTTCTTTGACGACATCGGCATTTGAGGGAGCCAGGGCTGAGCGGAGGATTTCATTAGTTAGATGACGCCATTGCCACTTACACTGAGCTGTCCCAATAATATACTTCAAGTGTGAACAACAGATCAGGTGTTTCCAAGCACCACCCACCACCCAACAGAGCACACAGCAGACAGGCCCTTGACCTCTACAGCATTCTGGTGATCCTGCCTATAGCCTCTTTCCAGCCTTCATCATGTAGTGCCTACCTTGTCAGCAATGTCCTCTTCTGGGCACTCCACAGGCTCTGGAGGAGGGTCCTCCAGGGCCTCCATGGTCAGAGTCCCTGACTGGTGCAGATACCTACAGAAAAGAACCAACGGCAGAGGGAAGAATGGGGAACATCAAGTAAGAAGCTCTTCAAACAAGAATACTTCCAAGTTCCTCTGAAAGGCAGACATCAGCATCATGGAACACAAGCGCTCCCCAACTCCTAGCAGCAGTGTTCTCCTGATCAAAAAGCACCAAGAAGGGGTGTCCCTGGGCCAATCACCTTTACCAAGAGGCTGGGAACAAGCGGATTGTGTTCTGTAGCCTGAGTCCTCCCAGCAGTCTTTGGAGCCTGACAGCACATCTCTCCCTGCCAGCTGAGAAGACCAACAGGGTACTTTGGACCAGGGTGCAATAAAACACATCATTCCTCACCATGATATGAAATAATATCAAATCCACCAGAGGCTAAAGAGTAACTCAGGATCTTGACTCCTGTACAGTATACCTACATGTGTGAGGTTTTTTTTTTTGGAGACGAGGTCTTTCTTGCTTTATAACGCAGATTGGCCTTAAACTTGCAGTCTTCCTGCTTTAGCCTCATGACTGCAGTGGGCCACTATGCCAAGCTCTACATACATTTTGTTTTTGTTCTGAGACATCTTGCTGTGTAGATGTTGGTTGGCTAGTCTGGAACTCAGGTGACTAGTCTGGAACTCGACATGTAGACCAGTCTGGCCTCCACTCGTATTGAAGGCATGAACCACCAAACTTAGCTTCTATATACATTCTGGACACTTGGTTTCCTGTGTGCTCTCTGCGGTACTGACAGTTAAGGGTCCTGAGGGTGTTGTGAACCCCATAAGTCACTCAGGTCATATTCCAGGCAGTGGAGCTGTAACACAAAACTCCCTTTAACAGGAAGGTGGACCAGATGGAGCCCGGTCCGGACGAACTAGGGAAGAACCCAGGTGCACAAGAATTCAGACTGGCTGGGCCAGATACCAGCCCTGCATTCTCATATAACGCCAAGGACCCCTCACTGTGCTCATGGCAGGGGTCACTCCTAAGCTGCAGATACCTGGGCAGGTGCTCAGCAAATGGACACCTGCTTGTGGTTCAGACTAACTTGTTTAGCTGTGGTAAATCTAATCGAGCAGTAGCGCGCATACCCTTCAGGGCACTTGTACAGAAGCCAGCGGGAAAGCTGTGGGTTGATTTTGTCCCACAACTTGGGGCCAAGCTCTAAACTTGATGGCTTGATGCTCAGGTCTATGCGACCTTGAGAAAGTATTCAAGTTCACTGAGCCTTCTCTTATGAAATAGGGGACAGTCTGCAGGCAAGTAAGGAGCTTCAGTGAGTTTTCAACAAGGATATTTTATTGACAGCTTTGATGAGGATTTGGCAGACTGAGAATTCAGCTGTGGTCACTTCACCTTATCAGTGAATGAAGCTGTTTTCTTTCTTACTGACTGAGCTTATACACACACACACACACACACACTCTCTCTCTCTCTCTCTCTCTCTCTCTCTCCTTTTTCCCCTTCCTTCTTATGAGTATTTTAAAAGGAAAGAAGCAAGCTCCTTTGCCCGGGGACCATAAACCCATGCAGCACACTGGGAGAGTGGCTTGCTTCTAGAGCCTGCTCTAGTGTGTCTGTCCTCAGATCTTCAAAAGGTTGCTGCCCAACATTGTTCTCAGCCAGTCACTGCTCTTAAAAAGGACCTTGACCTCAATTTGATGACACACCCAGGACAGAGAACTGCCCACCCCAGACCCTAGGGGCCACCCTGGGCAAGGGCCAAGGCCTGGGCCAATCTCAGGATAGGAAAACATGCTGTCCCCAAGCGCCCAGCATGTATGGCCTCTTGCTGAAGCTCAGGTTGTCTGGCATGGGGAGTGTGGCTTACTTAATCCCCACCAGGAAGAAGGGTTCTTTCTTCACCAACTCCACTCAAGAATTCCCAGGAGAAGGGACTATGGCCAATAAGACGAGCATGAGGTTCTGGGACTCCCCCAGACCCACATTTTGCCCAAGGAGATGGAAATAAGTCTCGACTGTGAATCCCACTGGGGTAACTCTGTGATAGATGCCTCAAGGAGAGGCCTGCTTCCTTTTCCATAGACAGGGACAGGGAGGGAGGAATAGGTTTATGGACACAGCCAGGTTGCAGAGTCACAGCTGGACACTGCAGAACACCCATCTTAGCCACATGCATAAAGGGCTGGACATTCAGCAACATGAATTATAATGTGAATGCATAAAGGACAGCCATTCTGTGTTCCCTGAGAATTCTGGGGACAGACTTAAGGGCACATGGCATAGAAAATCTGCATATGTTTCCACATTCTGCAGGTTGCTGCAGGACATATTTCTCATCCATAAATGAATTATGAATGTGGAAGCAGAGTTTTGTTGTAACAAATTCACCCGACAAAAAAAAATGAACTCTGAGACTACTTCAGAGGATCTGACTTCACTGCCCTGTCTTCTCAGGCCACCAGAGTCCTCTGACCCCTTTAGGATTTCACTAGACACAAAGCCCAGTAGCTGCCCCAATCTCAGAGAACTTAACAAGGAGAGCTGAGCTCCATGACAGTTCCTCCAGCCACTGCCTGTTCAGGACCATGTGAGCAGGGTGGCCATGACATGGCCATGGAATTACTATGAGTGCAGTGCCCTTCTTGAGAAGGTGATGGACAGAGAGGGTCAAGTGCAGATAATGCATGTTTCCTCGAGACCCCAAGCCGTCAGGAGGCCACTGCTCCAGGATGAGGGGCTATAAAGACACAGCAAGACAACTGTACTAGAGATGCGGGTGGCCAGGTTCCAAGTGACAGAGTTCACCTTTACTTTGTTCCTCATAATTAATGAGAAACGGGGCTTGCAACAACTCATAAAATTTATCTTTTTTTCTTTGTTGTAAATGGTTTTAGGAATTGAACCTAACGCCCATACGTATTAGGCATGCGTTCTACCCCTGAGCTATACTCCCAGAACTTTTGAAAATTTTGAGATAGCATCTAAATTGAATCTCCTGCCTCAGCCTCCCAAGTAGTTATGATTTCAGGCCTGTAGTACCAGGCCAAGCTAAAATTATGATCTTCTAAAGCAATGAAAACATCTTAAAAGCTTCCACAGAGAGAAAAGCCATAAAGAAATAAATGAGTTCTTAAACTTAGCAACTCTAATACCAAAGGCTGTGGCCAAATGACTCCAGAAAAATCTAAGGAAAACCACAACCTTGACCCAAATCAACCAAGGGACACTCCCACCCAAGGTCTCAAGTTTTACCTCCAGGTCCCTCTCTTTTTAGGAAGCCACAGGAAGATATGCAAAATGATAAAACAGGAAAAGGAAGGCTGGGGCAAGGAACTAACTGGTTGACTCGGTCTCTAAAACAAATTCACAGGGTGTCGGGAGACACGCCAGGACCCTAGATACTCTAGGGTGAAACCAGATACTCTGTGCAAACAGGAGGGAATGTTCCCCATGGCCAAGAGAAGGCTGGGCAGTGGAGACCACACAGGGTCAGAAGACAACAGAACAGCATGAAGGCGATCACTGGCTCAGGACAGCAACAGGGTTGCCTTAGGGAGGAGGCACAGTACCACCTGAGCCTGGATTTAAACAGTATATACGAGTCTTAGACCCTGAACACTGACCTCAGGGAAGACTGTACAGAAGCGCAACTCACCTTCTATAGCAGGAAAGCTATACCAACAGCAGCCAAACTCCAAAAGCAAAAGCTGACTTTTAAGACTCTACTAAGACCTAGCCACACAGTGGTGGCGCACACCTTTGATCCCAGCACTTGGAAGGCAGAGTCCAGCCTGGTCTACAGAGCAAGTTCCTGGACAGCCAGGACTACACAGAGAAACCCTGTGTAGAAAAGGAAAAACAAAACAAAAACCAAGACTCTAGGAAGACCCATTCCCCACCCTCTATCCTCTCCATGTGAGCCACTGAGCTGTCAAGACCATAGGCTGGGCAGGCGGCCACCCAGAGCCAGCTCTAAGAGGCTGACTCCCACAGTAGACATGGGGAGCCTGCAGTACACTCCAGCCCTTACAGGGAGTATGAAAGGGCAGAGGGGGCAGGAGAAGCTGCTATGAGCCCAGGTCCAGGTCTACAACCACAGCCCTAGAAACCCCTTCCGCAACCTCTCCCCTCAATTGTTTTCCATCCCAAGCTATGAAATATAACTTGGAAAAAAAAAAAACAACACACACACAACACACAACCTGAAAAAGGATATTTTCTAAACTGCTTTTCAGAAACTATAAGTACCAGTATATTTTGTAAGATTTTCAACAAAAGATCGAGGCTCTGCCTACCTTGCCACCTTCCTGCTGGAGAGCCGCTTGGCTGGGCTGTGCAAAAACCAAACAAACAGGAAAATAGTGTCAGGGAGCAGAAGGACAGGAGGAAACAGGAAGCTTGGGCTGGAAAGATAGCAGGGCACAGGCATGCAGCCCCTTGCCCCAGGCAAGCCGCATGCACAGGACACCCACTCTGCAAGGCAGAGAGCATGCACGGCACCTTTTGTAAAGGTCTTCACTACGTCTCAGTGTTTCGCCCCTAAGACTTCAAAAGAAACCAAGCAGGCTCCTGGACCAGGCCAAGCCCAATCTAGACTGCACCTGGTTCCACATCATTGGCCACTGTCATGTCCCCAAGTGCTTCTGAAGTCATTATCCCAGTTGATTGCCTATTATAGGGGCACTCCAATGGTAGGAGAGCCTGGAATAATTTTGACTTGGGTCGTGAAACTTCACACACAGTAACTGTATGGTAGAGATTTAGAAACCCTTCCTGGACCCATCCCAGGGCAATACCATGGACCACCTACAAGTACAGGCTTAATATGCCTCTTCTGACTCTGAGGCCAATCAGAGCATGGCTGCCCTTCTGAACCTGTGGGCCCAAGGGAGACACAACTGTGTTCAGGCGCAAGAACCACCTGTCCTAGCTCACAGCAGACTCTCCGGACTCCCTTTCCTCTTTCAAGGAGAGGTGCAGGCCACACGAGTCATTCCTTTATCACTTCAGCTGGGCTCAAAATCATCCTTGGTGGTGGCTCTGGGAAGTATACTGCTGTGAGATATTTTCATTCGTGATGCTACACTCTGCCAAACAGAGGGCACTGGAGAGACGATGCTGACGGCACAGCACCTTTAGATGTCTCTGCCGCGCCATTTCGTCAGGGCTGCGGGCTGCTAAAAGGTGGGTAGTGGGATTTAGATGCCGTGGGTGGTGCTTGCTATTCTCGACGCCTCAGAACCCTTGTCTCTGCACTGGCAGGCACCTTGTGCTCCTCCCCTCACGGCTCGGCCGCTGCGCAGCTGCTGTCTGGCTCCCTCTGCTGTCTAGACTCTTGACTAGCACTGTGGATTTTAGTACGAATCTGCTTTTGCCTTACAAATCATGGGCACTCCTTGAACAATTAGAACAGGTTGCTCTGTGTACCTATCAACCACTAGACCAGCAAATCCTGAAACAGTTTACAATTTTGAAAATATACCTCTGAGGAAGTCAGACTGCTTGGTTTCTATCAAATGGATTCTTTTTAGATACTCCCAGGTACCTGAAGAACTCAACAGCCTCAGAAGTGGCACGTGGCCACTTAGGGCATGAGTTCACAAAGCTTATCCTGAGGCGATCCATGCAGGCCAAGAGGCACAGTTCAGCTCTCACACTCGTACTGGGGCACCAGTGCGGATAACTGTGTCCTAGCTGATACTGAAGTCTCTCTACACCTGGGCAGAGTCTTTTTGGGTGAGAGGTCCCACTAACCATGCTGAGCCACATACTAGACTGACTGCTGCCCCACAAGGCCTAACTGATATAATTATCACCATCTTAGAGGCAGATTTTCAGCACTGGAAAAAAGTCTTCAGTGACTGAGACAATATATGTGTCTTCTTTAAAAACATACTTGTAACTCAAACCTGCTCATCAGCAGTAGGGCAGTTCAGCAGCAGAAGAATGCTGCTGGCACCTTCCCCAGCACCGAACACATGGCAAGTGAAAGCCTGTGTCCTCCACAGTGGAAGCCAGCAGGGTTTCGGAAATCACCAGAGACCGGAATGTTTTTTGTTGTTGTTTTGTTTTGTTTTCAAGTCTTGCCAAAACATGCCCTCAAAGAATACTTCTAGCTTCTAGCATTGTGATCAGGACCCCACCAGGTTCCCTCTGTTTTTTTTTTCCCCAACTGGCCAAGATCATATTTCACTGGGTATTGGCTAAAGGCGTGTAGCTTTGTGATGCTGCACAGAACACAAGGAAAAGAGCCAGCATATCAAGGGCACCAGGACTGGAGCTGGAACAGGACAGAGGTGTAGTTCCAGCCTGGCCAAAGCCCTGCAATAGCAGGGCAGACAAAGGGCATCCTCTAACAGACCTCCAAGAATGTTCCACTACGGGGATGGTCTGCCTTTCTGCCATAACGCTTCTGCCCAACAAGAGCCTATGTGGCCACCTGCCACCTGTGCTTTAGCAGGATATGCTATCCATAGCTTCACACACAGCCCACTCTTCTCCAGACCCTTCTCCAAAAAGTCCCCTAGCCAAGGACGGATCTCTCTTTCCACTGAGCCAAGGATGTCTAGGGAATGTTGATATGAATAAAGAACCCAGAGATGTCCCTTATGAGTTTGTAAAATTACAAGGAGCCAGCAAGGGGAATTTGCTGGAAGGCTGGTTCTGCTGGGACTGGTCAGAGACAGAGAGGTAAAGGGCAGAGATGAATACTGCACAGGAGACCAGGCAGAGGAGCAGCAGGCCCGAGGTATAAGAACAAAGCAGCAATGTTAAGTCCCCCTGCATTGGAATACACAGCCACCCCAGAGACAGGCGATCACCACTAAACCAGCATTCCACAAAACTAACTACCTGCGAATTTTGTTTTGTTTTTCTTTTTCAGACAGGGTTTCTCTGTGTAGCCTTGACTGTCCCGGAACTCACTCTGTAGACCAGGCTGGGCCTTGAACTCAGAGATCTGCCTGCCTCTGGGTGTGTGCCACCACCACCCAGAAACAAATCTGATTTCAAAATTCCATCTTTAACCCCCCGCCCAGCTCTACTTCCTGTGACTCAGTAGAAGAAAAAATTTTGGTAAAATACTGGAATATCCTCTTTCACGTGTTAGACTGTTTCCTCTTACAGGGACAGCAGCCAAGAAGGCTGCCACATGCATAGAGGAGAAGGGACATAAGCGGCAAGCTAGATCAAGGCATGCAGGACTGGCTGGGCCCCAGGAAGAGTCCCCTTGTCTGAGTGCCTTGGAGAGGAGGTGACCAGAGCGGGAGCACCTTGGACTATGCCCAGCAATGGGGAAGCACTGCGGTGGGAGTCTCCCTGAGGGCACAGAGCAAGACCGGCTTCTCCATGTTACCTATTCATCTCAAGATCAGTCAGGCGGGCAGAGAGATCTTCAAGGCGGTTGATCTGTTTGTGGCACTGGCTACAGTAAAACTCAAAGGCCTCATCAGCGAGGACGTTGCACAGCTTTGAGGCAAGAGGGTTGGAGCTAGAAAGACAGAGGGCCAGTCAGGAGAGAGGAGGCCCTGTTAGGTCATCTTTGCCAGGCGGAAGGGTGGAGGGTGTGAAAGGTGCAGGAAAGGACAGAAAGAGAATGAACTGTCCGAGGTGCTGGCTGTGCTCTCGGGACTCCCATGAGCTCTTCTTCATATCACCCTGAGTTGCCTAGAACATCCACCAGCTGGAGCAGCCCAGGGCTGCCGCACGCTCCCCCTGCCTGGCAGTGCATCAAACCAGGCAGCGCAGCTGTTAACACAAACTCCCTTCAACAGGAAGGTAAATGTATACACAGCATTCTCCCTTGTGGAAATCAGCTGAAGGTGACAGTGAAATGTGTCCCCAGGGGGAGATTATTTGCTGAGTTTTGTTGTTAGTATCATGAGATGGTCTTTCGGTCGCAAAGAACAAAAAACAAAAGGTACCGTGGTAGACTTGTGTCTTTGAGATCTGTGTTAACCCGGGATTCTGTCAGCCTTCAGGGAAGCGGGAGGAACTCCTGCTTATCCGTGGTAGACTGCAACACATCTGCTCTGGGCACTGATGTCAGGCGGCAGCCTCATCCCTGGGGTAGGACCCACAGGCTATGGAATCCTAATCTGGAAGTTCAATTCTTTTTTTAAAAAGGTATTTATTTGTTTGCTTTTGAGTGCTCTATCTGCATGTACACCTGGATGCCAGAAGAGGGCATCAGATCCCAGCATAGATGGTTGTGAGCCACCATGTGGTGGCCTGGAATTGAACTCAGGACCTCTGGAAGAGCAGAGAATGTTTTTAACTGTTGAGCCATCTCTCCAGCCCCCTGGAAGTTCAATTTAAAAAATGATAGAAAGGAATACATGAAATGTAGCATGAAAATTAGAATTCAGATTAAAAACTCCAAGCAGGAGATAGGGCGAACTTCACAAACAGGAGAGACTGCCACATAGATGGAGAAATGTCAAAATCTGGAATGGGCGCACTACTTTCAACTCAAAGTCCCTAGGATTCTCCCCAGGGGGACTGCGCACCCAGGACGCACTCAGAGAGCCTGCTTCATAGCCAGTGTACTTCTGGGGTGGCGTATGAGCAAGAGGGCCCAGGCATAGCTTACAGAAAGCCCTCCTAGCACTGGTTCCACAGGTCTGTGCTACCATGTTAACCAGGCTGAAGTAGACAAAGTCAGGAACCTGAAAGCAAACCGGAGATGTGGTCAATGTCAAAAGCTGTCCAGCCAGGCCTGGGCCCTACTGAGAGGCAGTGGTCTCCTCAGACTGAATGCTCAGGAGGGGCTACCCAGGTCTTCAGATAAAACCAGTCAGGGTCTGGTGAGCATACAAGTCAATCTCCTGAGGCACAACTCAAGAGAAAGCAAGCATCTTGTCTACTAGATACCATAGTTTGGATTTACTCAAATTTAGAACTTTTCAGAAAATTTGGGGGATATCAGAACATGGCAGAGCTGGGCTTATGATTTTACAGTCTCCCTCAAAGCCAGCCATGGGCCAGAAATTATTCGCTGACCTGCAGCTTAGGGCTGCCATGGCTCAGCAGATGCCTCAAGGTCTGCAGTATACTGCAAAGAACAGAAAAGAGGGGTTGCAGCTAGCCTTCACTCGGGACAGACTCCTCACTCCTCCACAGGGTTTTTAACTCCATAGCATCAGACAGAGCAAGTATAGAAGTCTCCCCATCACTAGGCACGGAGAGGAGTGGATCATGCACAGTGCAAGGTGTCACCTGGGGGAGAGAAAAGCAGGGTCTTCGCAATCCAGCTCCCCATTACAGAGGGTCTCCGGGGACAGCTCTGCCTCACTGCCCTCACCGTAATCTTCAAAATGTTCCTCACTGCCAATCACCATGACGACAGCCTGGCTGTGAGGGCGGGATCTACAAAAGATAAGACAGAAGCAATTCTGAGTCACAGCCATAGGCACCTGATGGGGTGCATGCTAGTCCATAAGCCACATACCTGAGTCCTATCATAACTCACGCCTTTAATCCTAGCACTTGGAAGGCAGAGGCAGGTGGATCTCTGTAAGTTCGAGGTTAGCCTGGTCTACAGAGTGAGTTCCAGGACAGAGATATACGGAGAGACCCTATCTCAAAAACAAACAGACAAATTTTAAAAAGGGACTGTGCTTACAAATCTCAGTAGACTGAGTTACGGTTTATCTCTAATAATTTGTCTGTCTCTACAGCCAGACCCTAGGAGTGTCCTAGCAGGAGAAGGATGTATCTCCTAAGTGGACATCAACTGGATGGAAACCAGACAGGTGTAGTCCACAGAGACAGTAGGATGCTTCATATGGCTCAGACTGTTCTTACCACTGCAAACAACACAGCCTAGGGAATTCACAGGGACACGGTCTCACACACACATACACACACACGCGCGTGCAGGCAGGACATGGGTACAGACCTGCCTGGGAGCAGCAGCAATGTACCATGGTCAGGCTCCTCCATGGTGTCCAGGCACTCTGAGGGCACAGCTGAGCCACCAGCACTGTCAGCATCCACTTCTGGCTGCAGCTCAGGGTGCACCAAGGTACTGGTGTCCTCATCTGTGAAGGTCTCGCACTCACTGTAGGTACTCTCAGACCCCATATATGCACTGTCTGTCACCTCGTTGGCCTAGGAGAGAAAACCAAGTTAGTTAGCCTGGGCAGCTACTGAGGCCACCTTGCAAAGAGGACACGGCACAACCATATGACAACTGCGTCCCTAAACATCAGCATTAGCTTGTGAGTCAAAACCTGGTGTGTGTGCAGGCAGACTAAACCCAGGACCTCTTGGATGCTCTATGTGTTCTGCCATAAAGTTGTACCCTCAGCCCTTTATTTTTAAAATGAAAAAGGGTAAGTGGGCATGGTGGAGACTACCTGTAGTCCTGGCACTCAGAAAGCAAGCAGGAAGACCATGAGTTCAAGGCTGGCCTAGGCTAACAGAAAAACCTTTTCTCAAAAGACAAAAGTAAAGTCATTTTAAAGTCAGTTGGATAATAATAACATCTAACAGATACAAAGCATCCCAGAATCACAAATGTTCCCAGCAAAACCACTTGAATTGTGGCTTCTGGCATGTCACTTATAGTCAAGGAATTAATATTCAACAGTGTAATGCCTGTGCCTTTTGAAATTAACACATCCCTGGCTGTCAGGATGTAAAGGCACCAGCAACCAAGTCTGATGATTGAAGTTCAATTCCTAAGATACACATGGTAGAAAGGAAATTGTTCCTTGACCTCCACAAAGACACTGTGGCATGCCTCCACCCAATAAACACCTACAAAATTAATAATATAAAAATGTGTCGGGCTGGAGAGATGGCTCAGAGGTTAAGAGCACTGACTGTTCTTCCAGAGGTCCTGAGTTCAATTCCCAGCAACCACATGGTGGCTCACAACCATCCATAATGAGATCTGGTGCCCTCTTCTGGCCTGCAAGCATACTTGTGGGCAGAATACTGTATAAATAATAAATAAAATAAATCTTAAAAAAAAAATGTGTCAAGTGGGGCTGGAGAGATGGTCAGTGGTTTAGAGTGCTGGCTGTTCTTCCAGAGGACCCAGGTTCAATTCCTAGCACCCACATGACCATGTGTAACTCCAGTTCCAGAGGATCTAATACCCTCACAGACATACATGCAGGCAAAACATCAAAGCATATAAAATAAAAATAAATAAATTTTTGCGGGGCAGTGGTGGCGCACACTTTTAATCCCAGTGCTCAGGAGGCAGAGGCAGGAGAATCTCTGTGAGTTTGAGGCTAGCCTGGTCTATGAAAGGAAATCCAGGACATCCAGGGCTACAGAAGAAACCCTGTCTCAAAAATAACCAAATACATAAAGAAAGAAACAAACACACAAAATGTAATAAAGATCAAATTAAGATATTACCATCAACAGTTATTTTTCATGTTTAGACTACTGTTGTTTTTGCTTGTTTGTTTGTTTCTCGTGACAGGGTTCCTCTGTGCAGCCCTGGCTGTCCTAGAACTTGCTTTATAGAGCAGGCTGACTTAGAGCTCAGAAATCTGCTTCATAACTGCTGGAATTAAAAGCGTGTGCCACCCTACGCAGCCAGGCTACTGATTTGGAATGTGAAGCCAAGGTATATCTTCTAATGCTTATTAGTCAATCATCCAGCCAGCTGTTACACTTCAATGTCTGTTTGCCCAAACATATCTCTGTTCTCCCCTTACCGACACAGAACCCAGCACAACGCCCAACTTGTGACAGGCAGTCAGGATTTAAATAATAAAAATGAACTTAAAACTAAGGAAGGATGAAGGAGGGCAGTTTCTACGTATAATTTCAATTTTAATTACAATGATGTTAGAGTAAGCCTCTGCCACCTCATTGTCAGAAGACTCTGAGGTTAACAATTTGTAAATTGTAAAACTTGCAATTCTAGCAGGAAAAAGGTGCCCTTTGTCCCCAGGTCTGCTGTTCCAAGGAGTGTGAGGACAACAGCATCCGCTTGAGCCTGCAAACCTCCCTGAAGACCTGGGCCTCTAAGCTGATGGGAAGCCAGCTCCAACCTTGACCAGCGCTAATGGCATGTGACCCAGACACATGACTCAGATCTGGAGCTTCAACCACAAAGGCAGTTATAAATACTCATCATAAGGATCCCAGTAGAAGATACGGATGGGCACTTCTCAGAGCAAGGACAGAGCCAAGACTGCACAGTACTTATGACTCTGAAGGGACAAATTCACCAATATTAAGTATCTGTAGAAAGCAGCCAAGCCAAAATCTAACCAAAGCCAGATAATGATGGTACACACATATAATCCCAGCACTTGGGAGACAGAGACAGGCAGTTCTCTATGAGTTCTAGGCCATCCTGGTCTACATAATGAGCCCCATGCTACCACGGTAATATAGTGAGACCCTCTCTTTCAGAGGAAAGGGACCTCTACAGTCCAATTCTGTTTTGCCCGTGCACCTGCACCTAACAGGGCAGGTGAGGACTCCATCCTGCAGAAGACAGTTCGGAGGGGCTAGAACAGCAGGCAGGTACCAGCATCTGTCAACAGCCTCGCCTAGAAGACAGGACACAAGGCCTAGCACAGCCTCCTGATGGTGGCGGGGGGAGGGGGAGGCCAACAGTCACTTACCCAAGTACCAAAAATACTGTATATTTCCATACATACAAATACATAATCTTAAAAATTAAATCATAGCTAGGCACAATGGCACATACCTGTAATCCCAGCACTTGGGGAGGCAGAAGCAGGTGCATCTCTTCGAGTTCAAGGCCAGCCTGGTCTACAAAACAAGTTCAGGACAGCCAAAAAAAAAAACTAAACTAAACAAAAAGCCAACCTAGGGTGGTTGTTTTTTTTTCCCCATTTGTTTGTCTCATATTGTTTTGTTTGTAATATACATATACAGTATATATATACAGTGTTCTGCCTGCATGTGTGCCTGCAGGCCAGAACAGGGCACCAGATCTCACTGTAGATGGCTGTGAGCCACCATGTGGTTGCTGGGAATTGAACTCAGGACCTTTGGAAGAACAGCCAAAGTGCTCTTAACCTCTGAGCCGTCTCTCCAAGCCCTTGTTTGTACATTTTTAATCTTACTGATCTTATGTTTTTACAGGTTTTGTTTTGTCTATGAGTGTTTCTTGTGCTTTTTCATATTTTTATTTTTTAATTTGTGTGTTTTTTTTTTTTTAAAGAGACAAAAAGAAGGTATGAAGTAGGCAGGTAGGGAGAAATAGGAGATGAGATGGGGAGGGGAAACCACGATCAGAATATGTTGTATGAATTTTCAACTAAAAAATTAAAATGTTGTCAGGCAATGGTGTCACCATTAATACCAGCACTGAGGGGGCTCAGACAGGTGGGTCTCTAAGTTTGAAGCCAGCCTGGTCTACAACGCAAGTTCCAGAACAGTCAGGGGTACACAGAAAAACACTGTCTCAAAAAGAATAAAATAACATAAAATAAAACAAAATAACTGGGTGGTGGTGGAGGCACATACCTTTAATCCCAGAATTTGGGAGATAGAGGCAGGTGAATCCCTGAGTTCCAGGCCAGCCTGATCTACAGAACAAGTTCCAGAACAGCCAAAGTTATACAAAGAAGCACTGTTTCAAAAAACAAAAAAAACAAAACCAAAAGAACAATTCAGGGCCAATAAGGTGGCTCAGATAGCTAAGTATGGTAGTGTATGCTTTTAATTCCACACTGGAGAGGCAAAGACAGGTCTCTGAGTTCTAGGGCTAGCCAAGGCTACAGAGTGAGACACTGTCAAAATAAAACAAAAAACAAATGGCGACCCAGAAAAAGCACTTGCCATCAAGCCTGATCACCGGAGTTTGATCCCCAGGACCGGAATGGCTGAAAAGGAGAAAAGACTCTCAAAAGCTGTCCCCTGACCTCCACAACTGCACATTAATGTAGCAATTTTTTGAGGGTGGTAGTTTGAACCAGGGGTTCTTTCTAGAGCCTTGGCTGTCCTAGAGCTCACTCTGTAGACCAGGCTGGCCTCAAAGTCAAAGATCCACCTGCCTCTGCCTCCCCAGTGCTGGGATTACAGGTGTGTGCCACCACCGCCTGGCAAATGTAATTTTTTAAAGCCAATCCTCTAGTACATATATGCCAGGTCCTCACTGCTCCTCCCTGGCCGTATGCACCCTGGGTTGCCAGCAGAGCCTGGACACTTGTAATAACAATTGTAACAATTTCTCAGTGCAGTTAGCACATTCCCTTCTGGAAAGGAAAAGCTGTCCCAAGCCCGAAGCCTACTCATGGGAGGCCTTGTGATGTTGAGGGTGGTATCCCAGGAAGCAGGCCAAGGAGGGCACCTTCCTTGGGGTTTAAGCAGAGAACTCAGGACAGAATTAACTTTATCAACGCAAGGGCAGAGGCAAATTTCGGCATGGCTATCTGATCCCGGAGGGAGGCTGTACAACACGCTCAACTCAAATCTGAAGGAGTGGTCCCTTTCTGCACCACTGTGGAGTAACCGAAGAGCCCCAGGCACACACAGGGGACACACTTGCAGGTATACCTTTACTTACTTCAAAGTCCCATCCCCAGGCACTTTGGAAAGTACTCAGGCTCCTCTGTGGGATACAGTACACGAACATGAAGCCCCAGATTGCTCACGAATGTTCTACTAGATGTAAATCAGCAACAAAGATAGAAGACCAGGACTGCAAGGCACTGTGAGGACAGCTGCCCAACTCATCCTGCCCCGTGCCAGCTCCTGAGACTCAGGTTTCTGCCAGCTGCTACCGTACAGGGGCCCTGCTCAGGTGCTAACGAGCTAAAGAGCAAATCTGTTTTCCCAAGACCCTTCAAAAGAGGCAAAAAATTAAAAAAAAAAAAAACAAAAACAAAAACTCACCTTGGAGCACAGTGGCACTTCAGTTCATGACACACAATGCAAACAGCACACAGCCTCATCCACTGGGCTACATCTACCAGCCAATTAGGACCGAGCCATCAACTCTACATTACCAACTTCTAAATTTTCTATCTATTACCAAACTAAAGATGAACTCAGGTGCCTTAAAAAAGCTTTCCAATGTGCCATTACATACACTAGCCAACAGATCGTCTACATCACCAAGACAGATGAGAACCTTGTTCAGGCTACCAACTATGGCTAACACGGCCCGAAAATTCCCACAGTCCAGGATATGGTTCTTCCACAAGCCTTTCTCTTCTCAGAAACAGAATTTGGGCAGAGCGCGCTCTCGGATCTCCTTACCCTCAGATGCTGGCCAGCACTTTTACAGGCCTGTTTCTGAGAGCAGGCTCTGGGAAGGGCGTGTTGCTGGAGGTGATCTCCTCATCCTGCGACCCTGCTCACTGAGTCACCGGCGTCTCTTCACTGTCACCTTTCTGTTTGTTAGCCATGCTGGTGTTCCTGCAAAATCCATGTGCCCATCTGAAGGCACATCTCCACCTCAGAGAAAGTTTAACCTGCTCCCAGACACGCTCTATTAAGCCTGCCGCTGCTGGCCAGGTGGGGAGAGGCAAAGTCCGGGAAGCTTCCTTGCTGGCCTTAACAAACAGGCAGGGCACAAAAGACAGCAACTTTGTTGTACACTTTAACCTTCCTGATAACAGCTTGTACAAAAGAGACATTCTCCTCATCCTATTACTGCGGTCCTTTCTCCTGCTCACAGTAGTGGGAGAGGAGGGAGGCACCCAGAAAGCACAGCCAGGATAATCTGGGACACCCTTATCATTCTGGTTCTGCCTGTTCTCTAGGTGACTTCTCCACTGCCCCTCCAGAAATTCTGATAAGTGGGCTCTACCCACTGTGGCCTAGCCTCCCTCTGCCTGCTCAACATTCTTCCCATGAGCATTCCTATGAACCTTAATTCAGCTCCCCAACAACTCCCGGCAACACTCTCATGTCATAAGCTAACCGCCCAAGGTGTCCCCCCAGGAAAGTGGTGGTAGGAGCCAGGACACCTACGAGGAGGCCCTGCCAGGGAATGCTTATGAGCAACTAATGACTCATGTACCCTTGCCAGCAGGTACTTGAACACACCAAGTTCCACCAGAGTCATCAGCAAGTCAGTAAAAAGCTAATCATCTCTAAGTACCAGTGAAGACCCAAATATGGTATCTGGATTTGACCCATAGATTCTCTACTTCAAAAAGCTTTACAGCCTGGAGGTGGTGGCGTACATCTTTAGTCTCAGCACTTGGAAGGTAGAGGCAGGTGGCTGAGTTTGAGGCGAGCCTGGTCTACAGAGTGAGTATCAGGATAGCCAGGGATATACAGAGAAACCCTGTCTCAAAAAACGAAACAAAGACCAAACAAACAAACAAAAAGTTGGAAGCTGCGATCTCAGTGCTTGGGAAGCAAGGGCAGGGGGGATCTTCAAGAGTTCAGTCTGGTCTATGTAGCAAGTTTTAGGACAGTGAGGGCTACGTAGAGACCCTATCTCAGAAACAACCCAAGAAAAACGATACGCAGCATCTTTTTTGTTCGTTGAGATAGAGTCTCACTGTGTAGCTCTGGCTGTCCTGAGACTTACTGGCTTCAAAGTCACAGAGATTTCCTTGCCTCTGCCTCCCAAGTGTTAGGATTAAAAGAACAAGCAATTACATCTGAAGTAGTTCGCATGTTTATAGTCTTTTTAAAATTATTTGTGTTTTCTAACTGTGATGGAACATACCAGCACTTGGAAGGCAGAAGCAGAATGATCTCTGGGTTTGAGGCCAGCACGGTCTACAGAGTGAGTCCGGGACAGTCAGGGCTACACAGAAAACAAACAAACAAACAAACAAACAAACAAACCCAAAAACTGTCTCAAAAGCAAAAGAAAAACAAAACAAAACAAAAAAATGGTTTTGCCTCCTCTTTTTATTTTATTTTTCATTCAAAAAGAGATTTATGTGTCTGTGTGGGGGAAGGTGCTTGAAAGTGCAGGTGTCTGTGGGGTCCGGAAGAGGCACTGAATTCCTGGGGCTAGAGTTACAGGCCGTGATAAACTGCCTGACATGGAGGCAGGGAACTCAAGCCATCTCCCCCGCTCTCTGTTTTTTTGTTTGTTTGTTTTACAGTTTTTAAAAAGATTTATTTATTTACTATGTATACAGATCTCATTCTAGATGGTTATGAGCCACCATGTGGTTGCTGGGAATTGAACTTGGGACCTCTGGAAGAACAGCCAGTGTTCTTAATCTCTGAGCCATCTCTCCATCCCCCCCAAAATGAAACCTTTAAAAAAAATGAAACAGGATTTTTCTGTGTAGCTTTGGCTGTCCTGGACTCACTCTATAGACCAGGCTGGCCTAGAACTCACAGAGGTACACCTGCCTCCGTCTTCCAGAGTGCTGGGATTACAGGCATGAGCCACTACACCCAGCTAATCTTTCAAATGTTTTATTAATTTTTTAAATTTTATTATAATTTATTTAATTTTATGTTATGTGCATTAGTATGAAGGTGTCAGATCCCTTGGAATTGCCATTACAGACAGCTGTAAGCTGCCATGTGGGTGCTGGGAATTGAACCTGGCTCCTTTGAAAGAGCAGAGAGTGCTCTTAACCACTGAGCCATCTCTCTAGCTCCTTTTAAATGTTTTAAAAGTAAACAAAAACTTAAAAATGTTTCTCCCTGCTGGGTACACACCTGAAGTGCCAGTATCCTGGCAGACAGAGGCAGGAGGATCTCTGTGAGTTCAAGGCCAGCCTGGTCTACAAAGAGTGTCCATTACAGCCAAGGTTACACAGAGAAACCCTGTCTCCTGTCTCAAAAAAAAAAAAAAAAAGTTTCTCCCTTCTGAAATAGAAAATAGAATGCTAGGAGAGATGGCTCAGTGGGAAAGTGAATTACTGCTCTTCCACACAATCCAAGCTTGATTCTCAGTACCTACATTGTGTGGCTCACAACCACCTTTGACTCCTGCTCCAGGGGACCCGATGCCTCTGGTCTCCATAGGCACCTGCACTCATGTGAAGATGCTTACCCACAGACAAACATAATTACAAATAAGCCTTTAAAGAGAAATTAGGATCAGGACAAAAAAAAAAAAAAATCCTCATTAGCTCTCTAAAAGAAGCCACTTAGACATTACAGAGTCCAGCCCATGTGACAAAGAAGACAAGATTCTGAGAACTTGCTATAGAGAACCTTAGATCTCACCAGCCTACGGCACTTAAAAGTTTGTAAGGCCGGCTGCTGCCACTTCTACCAGCACACCATGGGCTCACATTTCAACATTGGTCTCACTGCATTGCCAGCCAGCATGGACTCCTGGGCCCCAAGTTCCTGTCTCTCGACCACCCTGAGCACCAGGACAACAGCTCCAAGTGCCTTGTGAAGAAAGCCCTATAGATCAGACACATGACCCCAGATTCAGCTCTCTCCAGGTTGGTAGGTAGTTACAGTGGGCTGCCTTCCTTGGCTGTGACTTTGTCCTAGCTAGGTGACAAGGAACCCACAGTTACAGGAGAGAAGACATCACACACACCACAACCCTGGTTTTCCCTGGAAGCAGACATTAAGGGATACAGGACAGGAGGCAGGGTTATGCAGTGTGCCCAAACACAGACAATTATTTTTAATGTCTTCTGCCTCTGCTTGGCAGAAGGTGATACAGCAAGAACACCACAGAGCCTAACTGACCACAAACCTTTACTCCACAACAAGCCCAAGGGATGACTCTGAACATGTAGAGATTGAGCCCAACCTTGCCAGCGGGAACAGACTGTGGTTTCTGCCACAGTCAAGACCCCTCAGAGCCCACTACCATGTGCAGAGGGCAGCTGTGTAGGCAGCTGTGGCAGCTCAGGGAGCAGAGACCGCAGTACAGAGGAGGGAAAAGGGAGTTAGCATTCAGGAAAGCACTTGCCTCGTAGGTGACAAAGTCGTCAAACTCATCGGCACAGGCAGGGGGCTCTTCATCTTGGACAGGCTCCACACTGTACAGCTGGCCATCAGGATCTGTGGAGAGAAGACCCGGCCTCAGCAGGCCACCCAGCGCTGTCCAGGAGGTCCAAGATAGAGGCACAGAGTGCAGCTAGGACTCCTAAGGAAGATGGCGTCTACGGCTGAGATGCCGTGAGACGCATGGAGGGAAGTCACTGCGAGGGAAGTCACTGCAACGGAAGGGAGCGAGTGTACCTCAAGCTGAGGATACCGAGGGGGCAGGGGGGAGACACAAGGCCAGATTCCCAGGTAGACAACAGGGCTTACCAGGGTGCTGTGAAGCTGGTACGTACATAAAATGCTTTTTTAAAACTGTTTTTTTTTGTTGTTGTTTTTTTTTTAATTAAAGGAGCAAATAACACTGTAAGGAAAAGTGTAAGACAGCAAATTCTGTAAAAACCTACAGCCCCGAGGAGGGCTCCATACCAACCTGACCCAACGTTACCAACATCTTGTCTGACTGAGCAATGCAGTGACCCGGTGTTGTGCCCAACAGTTTTATTTTCCCTCTGGTTAACTCTCTTGTATGAGAAAATGTGGGTTTGGATGAGCAAGAAAGCTCAGTGGACAAAGGTGCCGGCCACCAAGCCTGACAAGCTGAGTTTAATCCCTGGAACCCACACCGTCAGAGTTAAAAAAAACAGGTCCTAAATGGTGTTCTCTGACTTGCACACACATGCCATGACACATGTGTGCATACATATGGAGGCATACTCATATCCAATAAATAGCAAAGTGGAAATATTTTAAAGTATGAGGTTGGTTTTAAGGGTTTTAAATTTTTCTTTATTTCTGAGACAGGGTCTCACTGTGTAGCCCTGGCTGCCCTGGAACTCGCTCTGTAGACCAGGCTGTCCTGGAACTCACAGCGATCCATCTACCACCTCTGCCTTGTGAGTGCTAGAATGAAGGGGATAGGACAGCGTGCCCAGACCTGTTCTTTATTATTTATGTGTATCCGTATGTGTGGGGGTGCCCAGAGGCCAGAAAAGCAGATTAGATTCTCCCACAAAAAAGTATCCCTACAGCATATGTATCGCTGGTGCCCTCAGAAGCCAGAGGAGGGCATCAGATCCTCTGGAACTGGAGCTACAGGTGGCTATGAGCTGCCACATAGGTGGTGAGAATCGAATCCAGGTCCTCTGCAAGAGCACCTAGTCTCTTAGCTGTTGAAATATCTCTCCAGCACCTAAGAAAGTAAATTTTAAAGGAGCACCAACTTCCTAACTCAATGACCGAGACATCTTCGACACTTCAGAACACTTGCCTCTCCCTCTGTGGAAAGAGGTGCCAACATTCCATGGTCTCCAAGATGCTCAGAGACACACCACTGCTATGTACTTTCTTACCGGAAGTACACTGACTTACAGCGTGGTTACTTAGCCAATACCTTTAGCACACTCAATCTTACATCAGTGCTTTTTAAACGAGTTCAGTCAGGCTGGATAAAGGTGCTTGCAACGCTGCACGGGGAATTGAACTCATGAGTTTAAATTTCCACAGTCTACGTAAAACCAGGCATGGTATCACACATCTGTAATCCCGGTTCTCCAACGGTAGGATGGGGATGGAGACAGGAGAATCCTACAAGGCTTGTGGGCCAATGAGCCTGTGCACACAGCCGCAGAACAAGGGACCTGTCTCAAACAAGGTAGAAGGTAAGGACTGACCCGAGGTTGTCCCTCTGGCTTCCACACACAAACGCGCACGCATACAGGCACGCACACGCATACAGGCATAGGCATGCACACGCACACACACACACGTAAACACTCACACATAAGAGTTTTTAAAAATAGTAATAAAATAATTTTTAAAAGCATAGTCTCATTTTTTCCCTTTCCTTTTTGAAGCAAGGTCCCCTGAAAACCAGGCTGGCTTTAAATCAGCCATGTTGCTGCCTGGGTCCATCCTCAGGTACTTGTTTTAAAAGTATAAACCACACCCAGTTCATGCAGTCATATCTCAAGGGCCAAGTGGTACAGCAACTCTCCCCAGACCCTCCTCGAAGAAATGCCTAGGAATGGTCAGCAATGGCTTCCTCTAAATGGGCCGCAAAAGACCAGAGAAGGTTCATGATTTGATCTAGACCAAGGAAGAAAAATACAGGCATAAAACCTCAACGGGTTCTGAGAGTTGGTCACTAACAGACCTGGGGAGCTGAGGACAGGACACACTGGAGAAGCAACAGCAAATGTCCACAGGCCCTCATCACAAAGCATCAGAGCGCACTACAGATGTGAAGGCGGTGCGCAAGGACGCTCATGCTGTGAGACACTGTCCTCCGAGCAGAGCAGCCATTATAATCTTAGAGCAGCTATGATTACTCTCAAGAGACCCTTATGCTGCCTGCCCCGCATAGGAGATGGGAAAGTCCTTCGACCCTCACTGAGATTCTGGCCACATCAATTTATACAGTAAGTACATGTTGCTCTCTTCTGTGGCTTTTAAGAATTGTTGGGGCTGGGCATGCTGGTACATTCCTATAATCCCAGGACTCAGGAGTCAGAGGTAGGTGGGTCTCTGTTAACTGGAAGCCAGACTACTTTACATAGTGAATTCCAGGAGCCAAGGCTACCCAGAGAAACCCTGTCTTGAAAAACAAACAAAATAAACAAACAAACAAAAAAAAGATTTGTGGGGCTTGGGGGAGATGGCTCAGCAGTTAAGACCACTAGCTGTACTTCCAGAGGAACTGGGTTCAATCCTCAGCATCCACACAGCAGCTCGCAACCATCTGTAACTCCTTCTGGCCCTCATGGATACCAGGTGTGTGTGTGGTACAGACACACACACAAACAAAACCCATAACACATAAAACAAATTTCAGATGTTTAAGAAGAATCGTGTGTCTTCTGCATGGCTGAACATACGGGCCGCAGGACGTGGAAGGGTGAGAGGTCTCCAGCCCAGCATCATGCAGGCTTTCAGGCAACCTGGCCTCCACCACCTCAAGCTGTGTCCCTGCATTATCTGGTCCAGGAAGGCTCCAGCAAAGCCACATATGACATGGCTATGTAGCGCTGGCTGTCCTGGACTCGATGTGTAGACCAGGCTGGCCTTGAACTCACAGTGATCCACCTGCCTCTGCCTCCCTGAGTGCTGGGTTTAAAGGCATGTGCCACCACGACTGGCTAAGGCTGAAACTTTTCTGGCAAGTTTTCCCACTGCCATGTTAACAAGTTTGCTTGAGCCTTCAAAACTGAAATTAGGAACCTAAAACTCTGAAAACCCACCAAGCATGGTAGATCCATGCATGTGTTTGCAGCCTGGGGTATGCAATCCATCTAAGAGCACCAACCCATATGGCATCCACAGAGGGAGACGTCAATGTGGCTGGCGTGTTTATAGTCTTTTTAAAATTATTCGTGCCTTCTTATTTTTTTTTCTTTTTGGAGGAATAAGTTTATTAAATATAAGCACAGGAATAAATAGAGAGCAAGGGTGTCCAAAAATCATCACACTTGATGCTCAAAACATACAGCAGAAATTGACCGGGCCCCATTAAGGCTGACATAGAGTCATGTCATGTCATCCCTGTGTCGTGCCCCCTCCACCCGAGCACACACATACACCCAGAGTTCCAAGCAGAGCAGAATCCTCTCAAGGACTCTGAGAGGTCTACAAGTAAAAGAACAAATGGCAACAGAGAGAGATGACATCACTAAATTGAATTCAGTCGGAACAGTTTTTCTGCATCCAGCAGAAACTGACTGGGAAGGTCGGGCATCAGCTGGAACTGAGCTTCCCATAGCTGACCACTGTGGGCATGTTCCCACTGTGGAAACGTCTATGCCATGGGACAAACAACTGTCACCTTGGTTGGAAATGGTTCGCCTTCTAGCTGTGTTCAACGGCACTGCTTTACCTTTGGGCTGTTTTGCTGTTCTCTTCACTCTGTGCCACACATTTAGTGAGGCCAACTCTAGGCAAAGGACCTTGGAGGATACTTTGGGACAAACAGCTTTGGGTCCCTCTAGCTGACTGAGAAGGCTGAACGTTGTCTCAGCCACATTTCCCATTAGCAAAGAGGGACACAGGGGCTTCAGCTCCACATAATAGCTCAGGACAGGAGCTCAAACATGATGCAGAGGCTATGGAGGGATGCTGCTTACTGGCTTGCTCCCCATGGCTTCCTCCTATTTGTGTTTTCTAACTGTGGTGGCACATCCCAGCACGTGGAGGCAGAGGCAAGATGATCTCTGGGTTTGAGGCCAGCACGGTCTACAGAGTGAGTCCAGGACAGCCAGGACTGCACAGAAAAAAACAAAAAAAAACTCAAAAACAAACAAAACAAAAAAATGGTTTTGCCCCCTCTTTTTATTTTATTTTTCATTCAAAAAGAGATTTATGTGTCTGTGTGTGGGAAGGTGCTTGAAAGTGCAGGTGTCTGTGGGGTCCGGAAGAGGCACTGAATTCCTGGGGCTAGAGTTACAGGCCGTGATAAACTGCCTGACATGGAGGCAGGGAACTCAAGCCATCTCCCCTGCTCTGTTTTTTTTTTTTTGTTTGTTTGTTTGTTTGTTTTACAGTTTTTAAAAAGATTTATTTATTTACTATGTATACAGACCTCATTCTAGATGGTTGTGAGCTATCATGTGGTTGCTGGGAATTGAGCTCAGGACCTCTGGAAGGGCAGCCAGTGAGCCATCTCCCCAGGCACCTGGGTTGTTTTTCTTTCCTTTTTTTTTTTTTTTTTTTTGGTGATGTTTGTTTGCTTGTTTATTTATTTATGTGTATGGGTGTTTGCCTGCAAGTAATCAGCATGCATCACCTGCATGCCTGATGCCCACAGAGACCAGAAGAGGATGTTGTTGGACCATCTGGGCCTGCCCCACAGGTGCTGGGGACTGAACCCAGGTCTACTAGAAGGGTAGGCAGTGCTCTTAACCTCTATGCCATTTTTCCCGCCCCTCTTTTTTTTTTACTCTGAGACAGGTCTCACTAAGTTGTCCAGGCAGGCCTTAAACTTGAGATCCTCCTGCCTAGGTCTCCTTATGTGGAATTTTTTTGTT